TTGTTGCTGTTTACCTGAGAAATGAGGTGGATACAGTACATTATTCCATGTTTCTTAATGACCTGTTCTTATTGGATATTAATCAAAAGGAAAAATCAGAATTCTGGGCCGCTTTCTCTAAGAGACCCATAAAGGGGTGTTGTTGCTGATGTAAATTAGAATACTGAAATAAATTCAGGTACAGATGACATAAAGACCAGAAAAAAGAGGCACATTTTCTACAAGCCTAAGAATTCACCATATAATAACATTGCTTGCCAGTATGTTTAACCTAGTACACTGAGAGAGCTGAGAACATTCATCCATCCATCCATCCATCCATCCATTCATTCCATTTCTGTAGCCACCCAACTCAACCAAGTGACGTGGGCAACTTATAATTCTAAAATTTGGAAACATTTGAAAGGGTTAAAATTAAAACAGGAGAAATATCCACAAAAATAAATATAAATATAAACTACAGCTGAGACAATTAACCAGATAACAGTAAAGCCAAGAAAGGGAGCCCTTATCACATTCTGGTGCACACAGCCAAGTTTTTAAAACCTTGTAAAAAACAAACAGGGTTGATCCCTCCAGCAGGGACTACAGCAGAGAAGGCCCATCCTCTCAACACTCTTTGGCTGATGGGATCTGCTGGATCAGATTATTAATATAGGGAGCTATGTTGGTTTTTGCCCCATGGAAAGTATTCTCTGCTCTCGAACCGTTGAAATGGACAACTGAAATGCCATGACAGCTAGCGTATTCATGAATAAGCTCGTCACAATTTCAGCTCAACCTAACGGATTGTGAAGCACATACCAGTCACATTCTGTCATGCTGGAATAATTGTGTGTGCTGGCATTCTGTGAGTTCACTATGAACATTATGGGAATCATGTTTGCTAGCAGTCCTACGTTAACATTCTCGAAGTCATAATTCATTCAAGCCTATAAATAATCCAATGATAGCTGCTTGAAGATCTCGGGCATTTGTTTCCATATGGATAACTCATAGTCTGCTATAATTTGGAGTATCTAACAACCAGGGATGTAGTTTGGGGCATCTACTACATTGAAAAGAGTAGTAAAGTTTCTTGGCTGACAAGCTCCCTTTGGCTTAAGCATTGTGTCTCATTTCAGGAATAGTTCTAAGATAAAATTAGTCCCCAACTTATAACAGTTCGTTTAGTGACACAGAAAGTTACAATGGAACTGAAAAAAGTGACTTATGATTACTTTTTACACCTTTGACTGTTGCAGCATCCCGAGTCAAGTGATCAAAAATCAGATGGCTTGTATTTATGGCGGTTGCCGTGTCCCGGGATCACGTGATCATCTTTTGCGACCTTCTGACAAGTTAAGCCAATGGGGAAGCCAGATTTGCTTAATGACCACATTTCACTTAACCATTACAGTGATTCACTTAACAACTATGGCAAGAAAGGTCACAAAATTTAGCAACTGTCTTGCTTAGCAATGGAAATTTTGGGCTCAGCTGTGGTCATAAGTCAAGGACTACCTGTATTGGTTCAATATGGATATTCCTAACTGTCAACGCTGCTAATATTGAATATTCTTGCTTTGGCAAAATATGCAGAACTGTCTGGTACTTTTAGAGTTAATTCAGATGAGATTGAGAAAGGAGAGAAAAGCCCGCGGAAGGGAACCGGAAGTGAATCTTTGCCCTCCAGGTTAATTGGAAGATGTGACTCATGACCCCAAAATAGGGGAGGGGAAATGCCTGGAATGTTATGTGCAAAGGAAGGGAAATTCAGATCTTGGCATTCTCCATGCCATGCTGACACTCCTCTACACTAATAAAGGCTTTTTAGGTTAAACCATGCCTGAAAGTTCTTTTGAAGTGTTTCATTAGTCAGACACATGACACTAGCATTGTTTCCTAATTCTTACCCCACAGTAATTCCTGACTCTGGATTTCCAGTTACTATCCTGTGATGAATGAAAATCAATAAACCAATACTTTGGGTTATTAATGGTATGTTGCTTAACAGAGGAAGAGGTCAGCCATTCTAGATGGGGCTGCATGTCCATTAGTGAGTTTATATTATAACATCAAGATCTTACTAGATTTTTGTCCTATCTCAAAAGGACCATATCACTTCTGTGATCTAAAGCCCATCTCACTGATGCTTGCTGGTTGTCCAGTTGTATCTTCTTGCAGACAGAAGATGCAACTGCCTACATTAATCTATGATTAATCTATGATTTAATAGTATTCTACTTGGAGTACTACTACATTACAGGTTGCCTTGTTGCCTTTAATTACTACAAAATGCAACTTTTAACATCTTAACCATCTGAAACATATGTCTATGGAGATTCTCAGTCATCCAGGTCCTGGTTGTCCCAAAGATGCTTTTTCAAAAGACAGCTGGACTTTGCTTCTTTCCTTGAAGACATTTCACTCCCCATCCAAGAAGCTTCTTCAGTTCTTCAATGTTTATCAAGGCAAGCAAAAACAAAAGAAGCTTCTTGGAGAAGTGAAACGTCTTCAAGGAAAATAAAAGTCCAGTTGCCTTTTGAAAAAAGCACCTTTGGGACATCTGAAACATATTGTACCAGTTTTGAAATAGATGCACTGGCCATCCCTTTCTTTGGGACTCACATTCAAAATTTGGTTCTTGCTGGCAAATATTTGAGGTACGTAAAGTACTTCCTTCTGCTAATCCATCTGGACATGAGGATCATCTAGGAGAAAGCCCTTTATTATTTTTGTTGCCTTCCAAAGTGAGATGGCTGGCAATTCTATGTTACCATGCTCTACCAAGGGAAATGGTGCTTTCTTAGCTCTCCATTCCGGTGACATGTAAAAATCTTTATTTTTAAACCCAGAGTCTTTTCTTTTAATGTGATGTTATATTTTCCTTTTAGCCAAGAAAAAGCTGGTATTGCTTTTTCAGGATTTTTTTTTTTTGCTTTATGCATTTGTGGAGTATTGTATTGTCAACCACTCTAAAAACCTTCAAACTAATAGAGTAAGATAAATACAAGTAATAAACAAAGAAATAAACTCAGTTCCCAATCAATTGGGATAATACTTCTCTTTGTTTCTGTGGTTATGGAGAGATGGCGTGGTGCCTTTTTTCTCTGGCTGCCAAGATCTCAACATAAGTAAATATGCTAATGGAACCATACAAATATAACAAAGTAGCCCAACTAAGAGCAATCAAGCTATTAGAATGCTTTTATGTGTCTGATGCAGAAACGCCAACAAAATCCATGGGTAAAGGTTAGGAAAAGGAGTATTAATTAACACACAGATGATATTGTGTTAGCAATCAATGTGCAACAACGTGAGGCCAACGATGACTCAGAACAAAAGCTTTCCTAAAGGTGTTCGAATTCCTAGAATCAACTACAAAAGAAATAAAATAAAAGAGCAATTAAAAGGATTCTTGATAGTTAAAATGCAATTCAGCTCTTGGACCAATTCGTAAATTCCGCCCAAGCAGCAAAACAACAGATCCAGAATTTTTTAAACCATTGCATTTGCCTTTGTAAGATCTCTTGTGATAAACCGCCTGGGAAAGCCAAGGGAAATCATCAAAACAATTAAAAAATGAAAGTTAGAATATTTCGGACATGTGATGCGACACCCAGAAAAATACGGCATACTCCATTTAATCCTCCAGGGAAAGATTGAAGGCAAACGAGGTCCAGGCAGAAGAAGAACATCGTGGCTTCAAAATCTAAGGGACTGGTTTGGACAAAACTCAGCAGCACTTTTTTTTGCGGCTGCTGATAAAAACAGGATCGCCAACGTGATCGCCAACGTCCGATAACGGATATGGCAGAAGAAGAAGAAGAAGAAGAAGAAGAAGAAGAAGAAGAAGAGGAAGAGGAAGAGGAAGAGGAAGAGGAAGAAGAAGAAGAAGAAGAAGAAGAAGAAGAAGAAGAAGAAGAAGAAGAAGAAGAAGAAGAAGAAGAAGAAGAAGAAGAAGAAGAAGAAGAAGAAGAAGAAGAAGAAGAAGATGATGATGATGATGATGATGATGATGATCATCTCTTGCAAGGCTTGTAATGACCCTGCCAAAAAGGAACAGTAGTGAATATTTCAAAGAGGATAGTAATTCTTTATCAGAAGGGTTTATTAGGAGTGTCATAGTTGTATTTTTTGCAGTCAAGGTTGTTGTTTTTTTTTACATAAAGGGAAGCCAAGGAAAAGATCAAGGTAAGATGAAATGTCTGTGAGATTAGGGAAAATTGTCAGATGCACAATTAAAAAAACCAGGTATCAATGTAGAGAATATTGAACTGTGGCATCCCTGGTGTTGTTTGAGTTTGGTTGCTTTCTTTCAGACATTTTATACCCAACTAGGTAATATCAGCAGTGCTAGGAAGGAGTGAAAATTGCTTTCTGTTTATACATAAGTGGTTTGCTCTGTCGGTGTTAGTGGGAGCATTCTTTTCTTCTTGGATTAAGGAGAAGACTAACACTAGACCAACAATCAAAAAGTAAACAACAACCTAATCAAGGAACCACCAACATTATTACCACCATCACTGATGGAGTGAGCTACTTTTAGAGTGAAAAGAGCAGCAAAGACCCCACAAACACAGGTGTGTTCATTTTACAGTTTGTAAAACTGTGCTAGAAACCTTGTGATTGGCTAGGATAGGAGATTATCTTAGAAAACTAACAACTACTGTAACTTTTAAGGGAATCTACAATGGATAACTGCCTGTTGCAGTGGCACGTTAAAGTGAGGGTCAAAAACAGAATAACAGAGTTTGAAGGGACTTTGGAGGTCTCCTAGAGCAGGGCTTTTCAACCTTTTCACCCATTGTACCACTTTTAGGATATGGCAACATCCGAGTACCACCAGTCGCCTAGCAAGGTGTCAAAAACTTGATGACCCAAAAAAAGAGGAAAAAAATGATAAAGTACAGGTAGTCCTCAACTTACAACAGTTCACTAGTGACAGTTTGAAGTTACAATGGCACTGAAAAAAATGCCCCCCAAGCCACAGCCGAGCAAGACACCTGCCTGCCCACCCGGCTGCACTCTTCCTCCTGTCCGAGGTTTCCATTGTTGTGAGCATTTCTGTTGAGGATTGGCAGCAGAGGTGGGGTGGGGGGGTGTTTGGTTTTTATTCCCCCTGTCTGCTGGGTGGTTGCAGCAGGTTTTGGTCACTTCACATGACCCTGGGACACTGTGACCGTCATAAATATGAATCAGTTGCCAAGAATCTGAATGTAAATCACAAGACCCTGGAGAGGCTGCAACATTCCAGCTGATCGGCGCTTCTTCTGGGCTCAGCAGAAGCACCAGGATCAGTGCTGCTTTCCAGCTGATTGGTGCTTCTTCAAGGCTCAGCAGAAGCACCAGGATCAGTGCCGAACTCCAGCTGGAGCCTGGCGCTGATCCTGGCGCTTCCACTGAGCCCTGACAGCCCCGAAGAAGCGCCGATCAGCTGGAAAGCGGCACTGATCCTGGCGCTTCCGCTGAGCCCTGATAGCCCTGCAGTTCCAGCCGTCTCTCGCTCAGGCTTGTGCGGTGCTGCCATCGGTTCAACTCATTCCCCTCCCCCGCTACCACTTTTCTAGGATGGTCGCGTACCACCTGCCAGGTGCCAATGTACCACAGGTTGAAAAGCCCTGATCTAGTCCAACCGCCTGCTCAGGCAGGAGAACCTATACCATTCCAACAAATGGTTGTCCAATCTCTTCTTGAAAACCTCCAGTGTTGGAGCACACACAACTTCTGGAGGCAGGTTGTTCCACTGCTTGATTGTTCTCACTGTCAGGAGATTTCTCCTTATTTCTAGGTTGCTTCTCTCCTTGGTTAGTTTCCATCCTGCCTTCAGGTGCTTTGGAGAATAGGTTGACCCTCTCTTCTTTGTGGCAGACCCTTAGATTGGAACATAGCTATCATGTCACCCTCATCCTTCTCTTCATTGAACTAAACATAGCCAGTTCCAGGAACCGTTCATTATATGTTTTTGTCTCCAGTCCCCTAATCATATTTACTGTTGTTCTCTTCATTCTTTCCAGAGTCTCAACATCTTTTTTATAATGAATCACATGTTTTTTATGTCCTGGAGACCAAAACTGGATGCAATATTCCAAGTGTGGTCCTAAAAACTAAATGTGGTGACAACTGTTGTCATGTATAAAAGAAAAAAAGAGTAAGGGTTTGATGAAGCAGTTATAATCACTGTCTTGACATTTTTTTAATCATCACCAGAGTTTAATCATTGCCCTAGAATGAACACCTAGCAAACAATTATACTTGCAGTACAATCTACTATATAACTATGTGTAGCTTTGATGGACTTTAGAGCAGCTTTCAAATTCATTCTTAGATCCCTCTTATGGAACAAACTCCAAAACGCAACTATTTAAAAACATTTCTTATTGTTAATATACACATTATCTTTTTAAGCACTGATGATGCAGTGATGCGGTGATTAGAATGCAGTATTGCAGGCTAATTCTGCCGACTGCCTGGTTGACTCAGTCTTCCATATTTCTGACCTCAATAAAATGAGGACCCAGATTGTTGGGGACAAAATCTGGGGACAATATGCTGACATTGTAAACTGCCCAGAGAATGCTGCAAAGCACTATAGGGCGGTATGTAAGGCTAAGTGCTATTTCTATTAAGACTGCTATATTTTTTAATATTGACATAAATTCTCTTTCCCAGTGAGAATTATTTTATAATAATACCAGGGCTTTTTTTCTCATAGAATGCCCAGAACGGAGTTCCGGCACCTTTTTTGGATGGAACTTTGTAGGGTAGGCAAGGCGGGTTATATGACGTGTGTGAGTTCTGGTACCTTTTTTTTTTTTTTTAGAAAAAAAGCACTGAATAATATTAATAAAGTTGGAAGGGAACTTGGACGTCATCGATTCTAGTCCAACCCGCTGTGTGGGCAGGAAACCCTATGCCATTTCGGACAAATGGCTGTCCAGTCTCTTCTTAAAAACTTCCAGTGTTGGAACATTCACCGCTTCTGGAGGCAGGTTGTTCCACTGGTTAATCATTCTAACTGTCAGGAAGTTTCTCCTTAGTTCTAGGTTGCTTCTCTCCTTGGTTAGTTTCCACCCGTTGCTTCTTGTCCTGCCTTCAGGCGCCTTGGAGAAGAGCTTGACTCCCCCTTCTTTGTGGCAGCCCCTGAGATATTGAAACACTGCTATCATGTCCCCCCTCCTCCTTCTCTTCATTAAACTAGACATACCCAGTTCCAGCAACCGTTCCTTATATGCTTTAGCCTCCAGTCCCCTAATCATCTTTGTTGCTCTTCTCTGCACTCTTTCTAGAGTCTCAGCATCTTTTTTTACATCGTGGTGATCAAAACTGGATGCAGTATTCCAAGTGTGGCCTTACCAAGGCATTGTAAAGTGGTATTAATACTTCACGTGATCTTGATTCTATCCCTCTGTTAATGCAGCCCAGCACTGTGTTGGCCTTTTTGGCAGCTGCAGCACACGGCTGGCTCATATTTAAGTGATTTTTCCAGTAGGTCTCTCTGTATAGAGTTTGGGGCTAATAAACTATAAGGCATATAAGCATTTCGAAAGCAAGCTTAGGAGACTGGGGGAAGGATGAAGGAATTAGATATGGAAATAGAAATATTTGATGAGATTAGAGATTATACTTCACTTATTATGTTGCAGCAATATTGAGAAAGGTATGAGTATAGCATTATTGTATGAATCTTCAAACCCTCAGTGATTTATCAGACTAGAGGAAGAAGAAAGAATTCAAATGGAAGTACAATCGAAAGAACTAAAAAGAGAGCTTAAAGATTTGCTTAGCTATCTTGCTTTTAAGAGAAGATACAAAGCCTTGGCAATAAGGAAGGTTCTAGAGGAGGTAGTTATATTGGACATTTGTTCAGGCTTCAGGACCATTAGGAAGGACTCTGCCCTCATTTTTCACAGTGCTCTGAATTTTCAAAGTAATCAGGTAGCGCCTGATGGAATTCTCAGTTTTTCTCCAAGGGGAGATTCACCAGGAATTCGCCAAAATCACAAGAATTTTCTCTCTTTTTTCATTTGTATCATGTGTGTCTAATTATCTCAATGATGGAGAGAGGAGAGAGAGGGGGAGAGAGAGACAGAGAGAGAGACAGAGAGACAGAGACTCTCTCTCTCTCTCTCTCTCTCTCTCTCTCTCTCTCTCTCTCTCTCTCTCTCTCTCTCTCTCTCTCTCTCTCTCTCTCTCTCTCTCTCTCTCTCTCTCTCTCTCTCTCTCTCTCTCTCTCTCTCTCTCTCTCTCTCTCTCTCTCTCTCTCTCTCTCTCTCTCTGTCTCTCTCTCTCTCTCTCTCTCTCTCTCTGTCTCTGAGACAGAGAGAGAGACAGAGACAGAGAGAGACTGTGCATATTATAATCCTATTTTGTTGTGCAAGTCCCTGTCCACTATTTCTCAGGGTATCTAAAGCACATATTCCTTTTGTTTTTCTGAATTTATACTTCCTTAATCAGCTACAACTACTGCCTGCATATCATCCCCAAGCAACATTTCAGTCATCAGTGAGTATTTTCACAGTGGTTAATTTTCAACAACGCAAACCAAAAAATCTTTCAGATTTGATACCCAGAAGCTTTCTTGTGTTTTACAACTTGCACAAACCATTCACAAACAATCAGCATCCAACACATAGCTCCCTCCCAACAAAAACACAACATTGAATGATGAATTAAAGTCCATTTCTACTTGGAAAGGCCTCAAAGACAAACATAATTTAAAAAAACCCTGTTTTGTCAGATTGTATCCGGACGACTATATCTTAACTTTCATGAGTTCCAATCAAGGACCCTACAATTTTCATACTGGTACTGAGAATTCTGTTTGGGACCCTGAATTTCCGCAGTGAACCACAATTCTCAGGATTCCTTGGAGAGAGGAACTAACTAACTGCTAAATTAATCTAGTTGCATAGTTGTGTCCTTGGAGAACACCATGGCAACCATTGCTACGGTTATAAAGGGAAAAGCTTGTAATATATAAAAGAGGAGTTTATCACAGAAGGATGTTCCAATTTTGGCATTTACATCTACAAATACCTGGAACAATTAAAGCATCAATTATGCTGTTTGTGCCTTGATTTTGGATGGTTCTAATATCGTCACGTCTCTGGGGTCTTGAGTATGCAAAATGGGTGCCATTCAGTCACACAGGCAATGAGTGTGGCACAAGCTGAGATCCTATATGAATTCTGGACTAGCTATTATCTACTTCTCCAGAGGCACATCCTCCGCCTCCCTCTGCTCAGCAAACCCAACAGATTGAAAAAATATCTCTACCCCATACTATCGTGTATGAACATCCCTTTTCAAACTCTTTGTGTTGGGACTACAACGGTTTCGATTCTTAACTGTGTTTGGAGAAGGTTGTTACGCGGCTTGCACCTCTTTCTCATATTTTCCCTAAAACTGCATTGACCACATCCATGATTGGTTTAAGGAGAAACTTACCTGGTCTGTTTCCGTGAATGTGCTTTGATCATCATCTTCAATGTCCGACTCGCCCATGGCAATAGGGACACAAATGGACATGTCTGGGTTGGTCATAAAGTCATTATTGTGGTCATCAGCCACTTTGTTGGTGGCACCTCTGGCATTGCTGGTGTGGTTCTCCTTCTGGTTCTGCTCCTCTTTGACAAACTCATTAGCCATGTGGTTGTTGACACAGTTGTGCATGACCGGCTGATTGTGGGTCACGAGCTTCATCATGGCTTTCTTTTCAGCGGTCGCCTTTGGTTGTCGAAGGACCCTGCAGCAGAAATTCCACATGGAACGCTTGAGGTACTTCAGCCCCTTGTTGATGCGGGCAAAGGCCAGTTGCAGGTTGTTCATCTCCCCATCTTCGTCTGGCGCAGAAAGATTGTCAGCACTAAATGAGCTCAACAGTAAGGCAAGAAACAGGTTCAGCACCTGAAACGCGACAAAATATTAAGAAGTATTAACTTGAACTTTCTCCTGCATTCTGTTGTTATGTTTGGGTGAGAGGCTGTGGCGAGTTGGCTGTGGGGAATTGTCATAGACACCCCACCGAGAGGCCCCCCTGCAGACCCAGCTTGCACTTTTTTCAGGCCATCACAGCACCCCCTTCCCAGCAAAGATGTGGCCTTAAATGGTGCTGCAAAAAAGATCAGGCATGGTCACATAATGACCCACTTAACGACCAGCATAACTTACAACCATAATTGTAAGGTCAAGGCTACCTGTACAGAGGACTAGAGATTATGAACAGACCTATGGCAATAAAGGAAACTTCTGAAGCTATAAAAGAGATTAAACTACCTTAGCATCAAGCTGTCTTAATGAGACAAAGCTTTTGAAGGATGAACTGGATCGTTGCACTGTATGCAATTTATTTTGAAAACTTTTAGGCTAATGAGCAGAGTTAAAAGGCAAGTTTCAAATAATGTCACAAACCTGAAGTTAATAAATCTTTGGAGATAGACACTGAGAGAAAACTTAATATATTAGATGCTTTCCTACTCTATGTAAGCAAATAATGCACACCTATGCCAGACCTCCATTCCCCTTTTCACAGGAGAAAAAGTACCAAACAGGTACTCCTTGACTTATAACAGTTCATTTCATGACCGTTCAAAGTTACAACAGCATTGAAAAATGTGATTTATGACCATTTTTCACAGTTACGACCCTTGCAGCATCCCCATGATAATGTAATAAAAATTCAGATGCTTGGCAACTGCTTCATTCTTGTGACAATTGCAGTGTCCCGGGGTCATGTGATCACTTTTTGCAATCCTCTGACAAGCAAAGTCAACGGGGAAGCCAGATTCACTTAACAACCATGTTACTAATTTATCAACTGCAGTGATTCACTTAACAACTGTAGCAAGAAAGATCGTAAAATGGGACAAAATTCACTTAGCCAATGTCTCACTTAACGACATAAATTTTGGGTTCAGTTGTGGTCATAAGTCAAGGATTGCCTGTAGTATGGTTCTTGCTCTGCCCAAATTCTAGCCCAAGCTCTTCTCCACTGAGCCCCTCTTAGTCCCTCCCATAGGGGAAATTAAAAAACCTATTTTAGGGTGCCTTGGCCTATGGCAAAAGATCACTGTCAGCTATTGGGGTCAAGAGTGGTGCATTTATTCTTACTATGCAGATTTAATGAAAGCGCTTCTAAAATTAGGAACTTACAAAAAAGGGGGTAGAGGGAGAGTGGGAAGAAGTACATTTTGTTCTTTGTAGTGTTATATTTATACCTTCTAGGACAGGGGTAGGCAACCTTGGCTCTTTTATGACTCGTGGACTTCAACTCCCAGAATTCCTGAGCCAGCATGGCTCAGCTTGGAAACCTCTCCCTTTCCCCTCAGTATGGCTGGCTGAGGAATTCTGGGAGTTGAAGTTTAATTTAGTTTAGTTTTATTAAATTTATACCCCGCCCTTCTCCCGGAGGACTCAGGGCGGCTTACAGCCAGTTTAAAAACAATAATACAATACAAAATTTAAAAGTGATTAAAAATAAATATTTAACTAGGCCGCTTCTACTAAAAATTTTGTTAAAACCAATTTAAAATACCCCTAGGCCAGTCCTGCCCGCTGAAATAACCAAGTCTTGAGGGCGCGGCAGAAGGAGGGGAGATCCGGAATCACCCGGATCTCTGGGGGCAGCTCGTTCCAGAGGGTGGGTGCTCCGACAGAGAAGGCTCTCCCCCTGGGGGTCGCCAGCCGACACTGTCTGGTTGACGGCACCCTGAGGAGGCCCTCTCTGTGGGAGCGTATCGGCCGGTGGGAGGTGATCTGTGGCAGAAGGCGGTCTCGGAGG